CCACTCAGAGCTGTGGTGGCATAGTGCCGAAGGCATTTGACTGCTAACCAGAAGGCTGGCGGTTCAAACCCACCAGCCACTCCTCAGAAGGAAGATCGGGCAATCTACTTCCATAGTAATACCACCTCAGAAACCCAAGGAGGGGTTGCCATGAGTTGAATCTGACTCGATGGCAGTGCGTTTGGTTTTTTTTTTTTTTTTGGTTTTACATACCATTGACAGTAAAATAAGTTTATGAAATAAAGGTATTATTGCAATCAGCACACATACTTGTTGGTATCTACAATGTTCTGTGTCTTGAGATTCCACATAAACAAGAGACACACAGGCCCCTGGCCTCTCCAGCCTTCATTGAAGGGAGGGAGGTGGTCAGCTATGCTAACAGGTGCACTACAGGATATTTGATCCACCAAAAGGATAGGCCTGAGCCAGAGACCTGAGAACCCCTGTCCAGCTCTAGGACTACCAAGGACCCTCCACATGACACCTGTCTGTAAGAAGTACTTTTCAGGGATGCTGATTAAACCCCACAACTTGTTTACAAAGTGACTCTGACTCCAAGGTTCCCAAATTCAGAGCAAGCTGTGTACAGTTGATCCCTTCCACCTGCCTTCTGCCTACATGGAAGGATTGTGGAGCCAGACAGCCTGTCCAGAACCCAGATGTCTTCCTCAAATCTCACACCACTCAGGCCTAGCCTAGGACCACTTCACCCCAGCTGCTTGAAATGAGTTATAGGGATGCCCCCATACCCCTTAGTTTCCAGAACTCAGTGGTATTCACTCTTTTCACCTATTCTCCTCCTGTCTCATATGAACTAAATAAAACTCACTGCCATCTTGTCAGTTCCAACTCCTAGCCACCCCCATGGGATTTCCGAGGCTGTCAATCTTTACAGAAGCACATCTCCCCAGCTTCCTTCCATGGAGCAGCTAGTGGATTTGAATTGCTGACCTTCTGGTTAGCAGTCAAGTGCCTTATCCACTACACCACCAGAGCATGTGGAGTAGAGCCTGCTATATATGAAAGATGTATGGGAATTCCAGCCCGTCTCAGTTCTGTGGTTCTTTTTCCAGTTCTTTATCCTCTCTGACCCTCAGTCTTCCCTTTCTGTAAGATGGGTGTCCCAGCCACCCTGTTCAACTCAACAGATGGTACAGTGAGATGAGAGATGGTTTAGAGAACAACTTCTGGAGATCTGAGGTCATTCCTAATTGCCTGGACTGTGTTTAGTAACTAGGAAGGAGGTCTCAGTTTACCAAAGAGAAACGAAAGTGATGACAGTGTTTATAATTCACTTTTATGAACACTTGTATGTATCTAGCATGTATCTAGGTACACCTAGATGTGTACCTGTGTGTGTGTGTGTGTGCATGTATTACCCCCATTGATATTTTCTTTATACTGTGGGAGTGAGGAAACTGGACCACAGGCCTTGAGGAGCATGCCCCAGCTCTCAGAACCAAGCATTCTGGCGCCAAGTCTGTACTTGTTCTTCAATCATCCCCTTTCCAAGTTTCCAGAATATGGGCTTGACTCCCAGGGCCTATAGAGTGGATTAAGGAGAGGTTGTTCTGGTTCTGGTATTCTGAACTCACCGGTCTGAATGCCTGTGCTAGCTCAGCCTGTGCAATCCCCATCTTTCATATACGCACAATTCCCATGTTGGCCTGAGGACCTGCAGAGCTGATGCTGTGGTCCAGCAGAAAAGCCTGCTCTCTTGACTGTTTGATGATGCCCCCTGAAACTGGTTCACCTGGCCTAGCTGATGCCCAGTGCGTATACTTGCTGGATGGTCAGTGGCTGCTGATGGGCAGCATAGAGACTTGGTCTCCATGGCTGCTGGACAGGTAGGGGTGTACATGTTTCCTTCCTGTCCACGGGCATGTTTTCAGGATTGGAGTGCCTCAAGGCAGGCTAGGGGCTGCTGCTGAGGGCCACCCACCACCCATGGCTTTTGTCCTCCAGCCCTCCACTGCTTCCAGCCTCTGAGGTACCTGCACCAGCTCACAGTCCTCAGGCTCACCTCCTCCACACATCTTTGTCTGTGACCTTCTGGAACTTTATCATTCATAGTTGTTTACCTGGTGTTCTGGTTACCTACTGCTGCTCTGACAGGAATATACCACAAGTGGGATGGCTTTAACAAACAGGAGTTTCTTCTTACAATCTGGAGGCTTTAAGTCCAAGTTCAAAGTGCCAAGATCCAGGGGCTGGGTGAAAGCCTCTCAACTTTGGGGTTTGGCTCTGCCTCCAGCTCTTGGCCCACTGGAGCTAGAGGCTATTCTTCACTCAGACAGCTTCTCGCTGCTACAACTGACAAAACCAAGGTTGACAAGTAAAAAGGCACAGTCCTGATATTACCAAACCAGACGATAGGCCATTAATTTAAGTCATTGTAAGTCCCAAGGTCAGCAGAGCATGGCAGGCTGCTGAACAACAACATGGTTACATTCAGGGTTCAAGCGTGCCATAAGCTAGAGACCATTCCCAAAGCAGACCACATACCTGAAGGTAGCTACTCAGCTGCTCACAGTAGATCCCACCATGGAGTTGATTACCAGTCTCATCATGGGGAATACTATACATCCAGCTGCCCAGCCACTCAACCAGGCCCAGCCAAGTTGACACAGAAACATAACCACCACACTTGGGCACAGAAATTTGCCGAACAACTGGTCATTCTCCTGGCCCTTTTCACCTTTTCAATCCATGTTCCTGAGCATGCTCAGGGCCCTATATCTCCTCATTTTCATTACCTGGGCTGCCCAGACCCCCTCCTTCTGCCACTCTCCAATCATGGTCACCTCCTGACTCCCCTCACTTTTTCAGAGCCTACAAGTTGGCATCATCATGACTCCTACTTACTCACTTACACCAGCTTTCTAGTAACAACTCTCTTCTCTGTAAAGCCCACACTTAGGCCTCTTCTTGGCCTACCACCTCCTCAGTCCTCACCTGAGTATCTACCTGCAGCTGCCCACTTAATCACCACACCTGGGCTTTACAATGGACCCTCATGTGGCTTTATTCCCCAAAACTAGTGTCCTTGCCACTAAATCTCCTCACTCTCACACCTGTGACTTCTACTGCCCCCATCTCCCACTTTCCTCTTGATGCCTAGGTGACTTCCTAGAAAGCCACACTTTCACACTGGTCACACTTCTGTGCTCACTGACCCCCTCCCTTCTTCTCCCTCCCCACACCTGTTCCTCCTTTGGGCTGTCTCTCCTCTTCACTCCCTGTACCCTCATCATAATGACTAGGCTTCTCCCTGACTCCTCCCACCTCATTACTACACCTAGTGGTGGTGTCCTGGCACTTCCCACCCTCTCTCTCACTTCTCATGTTGTTCTTAGATGCTGTTGAGTCAGTTCGGAATCAGAGACCTGATGTACTGTATGACAGAACAAAACACTGCCTAGTATTACACCAGCCTCCCAAACTTTCCATACTGAGTCTTATTCCTCCCCATTTAGGGCAGCCCCTTGACCCCTCCTATCTCTTTTTACCTACATTTTGGGATTTTTCTCCAGGCCTTTCTCATTTACTCATCTCCCATAGCTTGTCTGCCTCTTGATCCCTCACAACTCTCACTCCTCACACCTGGACTGTGTTCTAATCCTACCCACCCTGGAGATTTATCATGAACACAGACACTCATGTAAATACTGTACATAAATTCTCACAGCAGAACTACTCACGTTAATCAAAAGGAGGAAACAACCCAAATGTCCATCAACAAACAAACAAGATGTGGTCCATCCATACAATGCCTTAACACTGAGCCTTAAGAGAAGTTAGCTACTGACACATGCTACAATACAGATGAACCTTAAAAACCTAAATTGAGTGAAAGAAGCAAGACAAAAAAAAAGACCACATATTCCCATTTACAGAAAAAATGCAGAGTAGGTAAATCTACAGACACAGAAAGACAATTATTGAGTATCATGGGCTAAAGGGAGGGGCCATGGGAAATGTCTATTTAGTAGTATGGAGGTTTCTGCTTGTGATGACAATATTCTGGAAGTAGATAGTGGTGGTGGTTGAAATGCATTGTAAAAATATGTAAAGCCATCAAATTATAAAATTTAAAATTACTAAGAAAAAACTTTAGAGAAGATTGAAGTTGTCAAGGAATTCACGTTGCTTGGTTCTACAATCGATGCCAAAGGAAGCAGCAGTCAGGACATTAGACAACGTGCAGCATTGGGAAAGTCAACTGTGAAGGAACTGTTTCAAGTGCTGAGGAGCAAGGTTATCTCCTTGAGGACTAAGGTGTGCCTGACACAAGCCATGATATTTCCAGTCGCCTCGTATGCATGTGAGAGCTGGACAATGAATTAGGAAGACTGAAGAAGAGTTGATGCTTTTGAGTTGTGGTGCTGGCGAAGAATGCTGAAAGTACCGTGGACTGCTGAAAGAACTAACAGATCTGTCCTGGAGGAAGTGCAGCCAGAATGCTCCTTGGAAGCAAGAATGGCCAGACTTCGTCTCACCTATTTTGGTCATGTTGTCAGAAGGGACCATTCCCTGGAGAAGGATGTCATGCTTGGTAGGGTGGAGGGTTGACGAAAGAGGGGGAGGCCTTCAACGAGATGGATTGATACGGTGCCTGCGATGATGGGCTCAAGTGTAGCAGGGATTGTGGGGCTGGCGCGATATCGGGCAGTGTTTCGTTCTGCTGTGCATGGGGTCTCTACGACTCGACGGCACTTAACAACAACAACAACAACATATTTGAAACTTAAACTTTAAAAGAGACTAAGGCAAAAAAAATATGTTAAAAAGAAAAATACTGTAATAAAAGCAGAAAGATTCCCTCTAAAGTGAGGAGTAGTAAGACTCTGGCATTAAGAGAGAAGGGAGGTTGGAGCAGGAGCTGGTGTGGAGAAGATACTGAAACTGGCTCAGCCTCTGGGGCCTGCGCTGGAGCTGCTGATGGAGAAAGCAGCGTTAGACTTAGCTTCGGTATTGATGCAGGAGCCAGTTACAGCTCAGCCATGGTACTGGAGCTGTTTCTGGAGGGATCGCGGGTGTGAATCTGGCCCCACAGTAGGCTTCTCATCTGCTACGGACACTGGAGCTTGTGATGGAATAGCTGCTGCTAGATCCAGCTCCAGTGTTGGTTCAGGATCCAGCTCCACATCAACTACTGGTACTGGAGCTGGTTCTAGAGGCAGCATTTGATGTGAATCTGGCCCTACATCAGGCTCAACCATTAATGGTGGTGCGGAAGATGATGATAGCTCTGGCTCTGGGATTGGTATAGAAGCCAATTCCATCTCAACTAGTGGTACTGGAGCTACTTCTTGGGGTGGTACTAGATGTAGATCTGGCTCAACAGCAGGTAACACCCTTGAAGCTGGTGATGGAATACCCACTGCTAGACCTAGCTCCAGAGGTGGTTCAGATTCTGGCTTTACCTCAACCAGTAATACTGGAACTTGTTCTGGAGGCAGCACTAGTGATTCTGCCCCTGCATCAGGCTTTACCACTAGTGGTGGTGCTGAAGTTGATTATGAAATAGTGATTATGAAACTCATTCCTCCAGGAGGAATCTAGACTTGCAGGATCCAGGGTCTGTCCAGCCCTAATCCAGACACAGGCTTCCCAAAATCCCACTCAACTGTGGAAACCACCTGCACCCTTTCCTGACCCAAAGTCCATTCACTCTTTCAGCTGGTCGTTGGATCTGCCATACCCATCAGAATGTCAGCAGTTGCTTCCATATTTAGAGGAAACATGACAGTGTCACACCAAATGCACTGTGACACTACCTGCTCACAATCTCTAGTGTACCTGTCCAACTCCTTGACAAGAATGAGGTCCATGAGGATGACGGCTCTGGTCTGCTTTTTGCATTGATGCTAAGTACCTAGAACAGTGTCTAGTTGTTGATAATTCTGGCTCCAGTGTTGGTTTAGGAACAGGTGCTAACTCAACTGGTGCTACTGGAGCTATGTCTGGAAGTGGTAGTAAATGGTGATCTGGCTCAACAGCAAGTTCTACCACACTGTAGTTGATGCTTCTGCTAGATCTAGCTTCGATGTTGGTGAAGAGGCTGGCTTTTCCACAAATATTGGTAGTGGACCTGCTTCCAGAGCTTTCACTAGATTTTCAGTTTCTGCCGATAACACCAAGTTGCAGGTTTGTTCCCCGTATGGGCCACCAGGGAGCTCCGGTAGCATAGTGCCTAAGGCATTTGCCTGCTAACAAGAAGGCTGGCAGTTCAAACCCACCAGCGACTCCTCAGAAGGAAGGTTCGGCAATCTACTTCCATAGTGATACCTCAAAAACCCAAGGAGGGGTAGCTATGAGTCGGATCCGACTTGATGGCAGTGCATTTAGGTTTTTTTGGTTTTTTACTGGCCCTGGCACTGTAGTTTCAAGAGGAGAATAGTTCACCAACACGACTGCCTTTCCTTGTGCCTTTGCAATAACAGAAAATATCCTAATGCCATTAAGAGAAGCCTAAGCCTAAGAATCCACCCCCAGGAAGTCTCCCCAGACTGCAGTCCAACAGAGAGTGGGTCTGAGGTTGCTCTGAGCTCTGCCTCAACTACACCCAAAGGAGAGTCCTCCCTATGTGGCTGCACACTGTGCCCCTCCACACAGGCTCACATGCATGTATCCTCAATCCTCCTTACCCTCTAGTTGGGCTTCAGTGGGCTCCAGGTTCTCCAGCTGGGAAAAGAGAAGTTGGGCATGATGCTCCAGGTCCAAGCCATTCATATTCACCTGCATGTACTCTACCAGGTCTCTGCTTTTATATGAGGATCTCTTCTCCCACTGACACTGTCTTCCCAAAGGGCAAAGGCCCTACATTCGGCTGAGCCCCCACAACTGGGATTCAGTAAATTCAGGAACAGATTTCTCACCATACATTCTGGTCACTGCCCAGTTGAAGGAGATAACAAGCAGAGTGATGAGGGAACTACGGAGGGACGGATCCTCTCAGAGGCTTCTCTGAATTCCTACCATCCCTCTGCTCCCCAGAACACCCTGGCTCCCTCCCAACCTCTCTGTGAAGCCTTTTCTACTGCAGGGAGAGTTCCTGACTCATTCCTCCAGGAGGAATCTAGACTTGTGGGATCCAGGGTCTGTGCAGCCCCAATCCAGACGCAGGCTTCCCCAAAAACCCACTCATCTATGGAAACCACCTACATCCCTTCCTGACCCAAAGTCCATTCACTCTTTCAGCTTGTCCTTGGATCTTCCATACCCACCAGATTGCAGCAGTTGCTTCCATATTTAGAGGAAACATGAGGATGTCACACCAAATGCACTGTGACTCTACCTGCTCACAGTCTTTAGTGTGCCTGTCCAACTCCTCGACTAGAATGAGGCCCATGAGGACACTGGCTCTAGTCTGCTTTATTCATTGATGCTAAGTACTTACAACAGTGTCTGCAACACTAGGGGATGCATATTTTTTAAATAATTTTTATTGTGATTTGGGTGAAAGTTTAGGGAGCAAGTTCATTTTCCATACAGCAGTTCACATACACTTTGTCTCATGACATTGACTGCAATTTCTCACAGTGCAACATCTCTCTTCCCACTTCTTCCCCATAGCTACCTCTTTCATGTGTCCTTCCCTCCCATGCATTCCAGCCCCCTGGATCTGTCTTCCTGTGCATACACAGCCTTTCTATTCCCCCATGAGTGATCTCTCCAAGGAGTGTGTCTATCTAATGTAAATATTCAGCTCATGTGCCTGTCTTTTGGAACATGGAAGCCACAGGAGTGAGTTCATTTCCAGACTTGAAGGGCAGCTAGGGGCAATAGTCTCAGAGGTTTTACTAAGCTCTATCAGACCAGCATACCGGGTCCTTTTTTTATGATTTTCAGTTTTGTTCCACATTGTTCTTCCACTCTGTCCGGTATCTTCTACATAGATTCCCTTCTGAGTTGTTGACAGTGGTAGCAGGGCACCATCTAGTTCTTCTGATCTCATAGTCATATAGGCTGAGGATTGCATGGTCTACCAATCCCTTGGTCTAATTGTTTCCATGTGTCTTTGGTTTTCTTCATTCTTCTTTGCTCTAGACAAGGAGAGACTCATTGTTGCATCTAGATGTCTGCTTGCAAGCTTTTAAGATCCCTGTCGCTACTTGTGAAAGTAAGATGTGGAATAATGTTTTTGTGTAGTACATTATGCCATTGAGTTTCATGTCCCCTGTGACCATGGTCCCAAGCCCACAGGTCAAACTACTCACTCCCTCTGGGTAGCTGGCTATGACCAAGAAGTGACTACAAACTTATCCCTTGTCAGCTCTACTATATACCTGGAAATTCTTAGAGAACATACAAATACACTTGTAGAAACATTTACTGCCAACCCTATACATTGTCGTGGGCACATTCCCCACTGCACAGACATACCTAATCATTCAGCCTGTCCACCAATCTATGCACCCATACATAGATCACTGATTACCATCACTGACAATGCAGGACTGCATATTCAAAAGGGTTAATCTTTGTTGTCTGTACCTCACATGTACCTCTCTATGTCTTCCTCTTCCTCAATGCCACCATGTTGATCACTCACATTTGGTACATTGCCCTTCTCTTCATCCAAATCAATACTTGTCTCTACCTATCTAGTAGTGGCCCCTCCCCTCCCCT